CCACTTCGGAGACCAATGCAACAAAACTACAGAATTCCATAAATCATGGATTTTTACACAGAAAATATGTGTATATTTAAAACAAACTGTATTCGCATAAGACCACAATATATACAAGTAGGCTACAGCTAGTATTTTAAAGCAAGCACTAAACCATTCCAAACAACCTGTGGGCCGAAGGAGGAGAAAATAGTTGGGTGAGATCTGCCGAAATACCCAGCTCTCCAAAGTGAGATCAACACCGATTCCACATCATACGCGACTCAAGGGCATTTCATTTTAAAAGAAATATTCCGCTATTGCTTCCAGCTGGAACAGAAACTTTTAATTAATACCTTTAAGGGGGCTCTCGTGGTCTTGAGGTTAAGGTGTTCACCTCTCATTCAATAGGTCCCAGGTTCGAATTTGGATAGCTCCCTTTTCACCCTTTCCTGCTCTCTAACCATGTTCTGTCGTCTGCTTTCGTCTCCACTTTCTGCCACCACCCCTTCATTTCCTTTGCCCCTTCCTTTGAGCTCCCGAGTCTTTCTGCAGCCTTTCTACTGTTACTCCTTGGCTTCTTCTTAATGCTGTCTTTCAGCCACATCCCTGATATAATGGTACCGGTAGGTAAGATCTACACCTAGCCTCGGATAACGGTGAAAAATTTTGGAGGTCCCATGTGCAAGTTGCACACGTTACAGATCCCTTGGTGGTCCAAATTAATAAAGTTGGCTTTGGCCAGGCACCCGGGCAAAATTCAAAATTTCCTACCAACTGAAAATGTTTAATGTGTCCTGCGAGCCCATATTATGACCATATACAGTTGCAAGTATCGTAAAACACTTACAAACTAATAAAAAATTAATGAAGGTCTTGACTCGTGGGCCCATGGACCATTGTTTGACCGTGCCTTCTGAGGAGGTTTGTGGAGTTGCGGCTGTGGTATTCAAGGGAAGCTATTGAAGATATATCATTCTTCCTTTAGTCAATATCATTAGGTTATCAAATTATCTCCCTTATTTTGAAAAGAGCAAACAATTGCCAGTTGCTTCTTTTCCTTTTTGAAGACACGGGCAACCCTTAAGACCCATTTTCTAAAGTACGAACTTGCTTGTATGCAGTGAATATTTTCTTAAAGTCTCATACAAATATGATGAAAAATGAAAAAAAAGAACTAGGCAAAAAAAACAAGTGCATTGAAATGTCATTTTGAGAGAAAAGCCTCTTTGATGCAGAAATGTTCCCAATGCTTGACAATTGCCATGTTTTCAAAGGATATTTTTGACTTGAATAAGTGGTTTCAAAATTTCCTATATTTTGCTTTTTTCCCCCCGAGGGAGAGCTGCCGTCGCTGCTGATTTAATTATATTATAAATATATAAATAAATATAATACAAAATCCTCAGGGATAACTAGGTTTCAATTTAAATATTCTGGATAATTAATTACAGTATGATCTAAATCAATGCTATTAAACTTATTTCAATAAAAAATAAAAATGTTAAGGCAAAATGTACCCTTAAGGACAAAGGACAATCGAGTGAACATGCTTACAGAACAAAGTAAAAGCCCACAACGTACATCTACAATGATGACAAAAGTGTGCTATCTGAACATATAAATAAAAAGAGCCTTGTCACAAAATGCGCTATATGCAAAATACATTTTTTCTAACTTGTCATCAGGATTGGATCTTCTATGATAAAACACTGTACTCAAAAATGTATATTTTTTAACCAACGTTCTGGAAGCCTCTTACTTTGGCATGTCAAATCAGCATCTTTTCTTCACAAAACATGCTATATGCTTCCAAAATGTTTTCACAAAATGTGTTATATGGAAGCAAGCCAATGAAAAAACAAAGGAAACCAACAATTTCCTGTGGCATCCCCAGCTGGCTATTCCTCACTTTTCTTATATTATCAGATTCATGAGAGAGAGAGAGAGAGAGAGAGAGAGAGAGAGAGAA